GTTCAGATGGTTCAAGAGGGAAGGTTCATATGGTTCAGGAGTGAAGGTTCAAGAGTGAAGGTTCAGATGGTTCAAGAGTGAAGGTTCAGATGGTTCAAGAGTGAAGGTTCAGATGGTTCAAGAGTGAAGGTTCAGATGGTTCAAGAGTGAAGGTTCAGATGGTTCAAAAGTGAAGGTTCAGATGGGTCAAGAGGGAAGGTTCAGATGGTTCAAGAGCGAAGGTTCAGATGGTTCAAGAGGGAAGGTTCAGATGGTTCAAGAGGGAAGGTTCAGATGATTCAAGAGCGAAGATTGGTGATTGGTTCCTATTAAATCATTTGCCTTGAATGAAGAGCAACATTCCCCTCATATCAGTATCTCTGCTCTCATCCAACATGCTTCCCCATCAGCACAACTGGTTATGTAAGATTTACTGAATGTACCTGAGCTCTGTTGCCTTCTGGTGCTGCAGCAGCTTTCTTTTAACGAAGCATTTTAATAAGTTTTTCCAACACTATGCGTATCTGGGGCAACTGAACCAAGCGGCATCTCTACTGACAAAAGTACCAATTCTGGTTTGTGCCCCCGTTTGATTTTTTTTTTTTGTATGGCTGAGATTGGATGCGTCTCCAAGATAAAAGCCTGAAATCTCAATGGTGAGAGATCTGTGTAACGTTGCATACCCAGTCCCTGGAATCTATTGTATATCATGTAAAAAAGTTAAGATTATGTTTCTCACAGATGTGGTAAACTGCCTAGATTTCTCCCGGTTTTCCTCTGTGGCCCATGATAAAATATATATGTTCTCAAACAGGGATTCTGTTTCCCAAATTTCTGTAAGAGTGCAGAGGACAATGATACAGTATAAAAAAACAGCATTCCAACTACAAGATATTATGTCTAACTTCCAATGCTCCTCATGGTTCCTCCGAGCCAAATTGGACGGTTCCCTCGGTGCATTAGATGTCCTCTGATTCTCCCGTTACCCTAAGGAGAAAAGCCTTAACCCCATAGTTCTTCTTTAAGATGAGAATCTTCTCATGTGCTGCCTCTAGGGGGCACTGTCTGAGACAAAATTCCCACCTTGTGCCATGACATAGGCAGCTCTGCGTGGTAAGTTACATAGTTAGTCAGGTTGAAAGAAGACACAAGTCCATTGAGTTCAACCTATAGAGATAGGGGGGGGGAGAAGAAAAGCCTAAACAGAACGCTATGCCCACAGCTACCCCCTGTTGATCCAGAGGAAGGCAAAAAACCCCTATAAAGCACGGTTCAATTTTCTCCAACAGGGGAAAAAAATTCCTTCCTGATCCCATAAGGCAATCGGATATTCCCTGGATCAACAATCCCTGATGCCTAATATACCTCTAAGAACTCAATATCCAGTAATATTCTGTGCATTTAGGAATACATCCAGATGTTTTTTAAAACAATTAGCCAAGCTCGCTAGAACTATCTCCTGGGGGAGTCTATTCCACATGTTCATACCTCTAGATGTGAAGAATCCTTTCCGTATGCAAAGGTTAAACCTATTTTCCTCCAAAGAGTGCCCCCTTGTCCTTTGCAGCGACCTTAACATTAATAATTTGGCACCAAGCTCACTACATGGACCATTTATGTATTTATACCTGGTGATCATGTCCCCCCTTCATCGCCTCTTCTCCAGAGAGAACACATTCAGGTCAGCTAATCTCTCCTCATAGCTGAGCTCCTCCATGCCTCTTATGAGTTTAGTCCTTCGCTGGACTTTCTCCAGTTCCACAACATCCTTTTTGTGAACTGGTGCCCAAAACGGAACTGCATATTCCAGATGAGGTCTTACTAATGCTTTGTACAGGGGCAGGATTATGTCTCTTTCTTACTTATCTCTAAGGTGCAAACTTCCTCTGAAATGCTGTTTTGTTTTTTTTGGCATATCAATTTTTCTTGGTATTATTGCAGGTTACATAGAGATCAGATATTTTCATTTGCAGCTGTAGCTCGCGGTATACTGAGATGCCGCAGCTGAAGCGGATCCCGACAATTGTGCCGGGATCCGCCCAGCTGCGTGAGTGACAGCTGGCTCTGCCTATCTAGAGGCAGAGCCAGCTGTACCCGCCCCCTCCCCCGTCTGTTCCGCCAGTCAGCGCTGGCGGATCGGAGGGGGGGGGGAATCCAGCCCCTCCCCTGTCCCGGCAGAGCCGTGACAAGATCGAGAGGTGAGCGAACGCCGGTATGTGTTCGCTCACCTCCCGATCTACTGAGCCGACCTGTGACAGTCTCATTGTCACAGGTCGGCTAGAACTATGAGGTGAGTGAAAAGCACCCCCCCTCCCCCTCATAGTTCTCCTTTAATACTGAACCCTGGGGAAAATTCAAATCTACCCTTGCAGTGTGCTCGTTTTTGCCTGGGGTACTGTTAAAAATCATTTTTACTTACCTTATCCCTTGCTCCCCAGCAGCTGGCCCTCTCCTCTTCCCTTTAATGCTCCGGATTGTGGATGGGCCCTTGGCATCTTCACTTACAATGCAGGACTTCTGATCCTGCAATGTACATGATGACGTAGGAGTGCCACCGACAAAGCACTGAAGAGCAGTGGCTTCAGGGGACCGGGTGAGGCGTGAGGTAAGTAACACTACATTTAAAGGTGTCCAAGACAAAAACAAGCAATTAACCCTTTGCAGTACCGGGGCAGCCCCATTGCAAGGGCAGTTTTGGATTCTTCCCGGACTCCAGCTTTAATAGAAAGCTCCCAGCCTGTCATGATGATGCTTTGGCTTCAATACTTTAATACTAATCAGGAACTACATGTTGTGTACCACATAAATTATTTTGTTATATTGTTGCTAGGATGTATTGCAGTTTATCATTAAACTGTATAGGGATGCACCGATACCGATACTAGTATTGATATCGGTGCCAATACAAAGTATTTGGGGGAGCACTCGTACTCGCCCCAAATGCTCCGATGCCTAGCACGAGTACTTCCTGTATCAGGAAGCCGGGCTGCACGTCATTACACGCAGCCCGGTTTCCTGATTGGTCGGGAGGACGGCTCCATGCTCCCTCGTCACTTGTGATGAAAGAGCATGGAGCCGTCTTCCCGGCCAATCAGGAAGCCAGGCAGCGGCTAATGACGTGCTGCCCGGTTTCCTGATTGGTCGGGAAGCTGGCCAATCAGGAAGCTGGGTGCCGTGTAATGACTCATCATCTCATGACGAGGGAGCATGGAGCCGTCCTCCCGGCCAATCAGAAAGCAGGGCGCCGCATCATTACGCAGCGCCCGGCTTCCATGATTGGCCAGCAAGACGGCTCCGGCTGGGTACCGGAGGAAGGCCGCTCTTTGGCTGGAGAGGCCCTGGGATTAACAGGCTGGACATGCTGAGGTGAGAGGGGACAGACTTTCTTATTAATCAGTAAGCCGGGTGGCGAGTCTTTACACGCTGCCAGGGACTCCTGGTACTCGGTAATTGATATCGGCGAGTACCGGAAAAAAATTATCGGTACTCGTACTCGGTACCAAAATACCGGTATCGGTGCATCCCTAAAACTGTGATATCTATTGATACCAGGTGGGTAGTATGCTGCCACAGAAACTTGATTATTTTCTGTGTCCTTTGTATGTTTCCCTGTTCCCCCTCCTATGGGGGGTGCTAGTTAGTACATTCCCTAGCAAGAAACTCCATGCCCTCTTATGCTTTCCTAGTTCAGTTTCACCAGGAAAACATCTAGTTTTTTTTTTCACATTAGTTTTACCAGAAAAATAGTCTCTGCACTGTTCTTGCCTGACGTAAAACTGTGTTAGATTCAGCAGCTTTGTTTTAATGAAGAGTTAAGCTGTCTGCGTATTCTGCCAAGTCAGTAAGTGGCCATACTGTCCACACAGACTGGGTCTAAGGAGGTATGTCACTGCATATATTGGCATTCGAAACAGAACATTACACGTGTCACCCATCTGTCTGCGCTGTGTGAAAATGTGTGTAAATCACAGGATTGGCTGAACTTAAAGTGACATTAAACCCTCAGATTTTTTAACATAAAACAATATTGTGTATTGTAATCCATGGTTGTTTCCCTTCTCTTTGCTGCTCTTCCTTTTAAATCCTCATGTCTTCTCATGCTTGGGGAGAACTTCCCTTTTCAGCTCAGGGCCTCTTCCTGTAATGCTGGCTCAGGTTACAAGCCTATAGAAACCTGCACACAGACACCGTGTATCCATTCCAGAGACAAGGCAATCTGCTGCAAAACAGAAGTTCTGCCCAGCATGAGAACAGATACAGATTTAAAAGGAAAAGCAGCAAAGAGAAGGGAAACAACCATGGATTACAGTAAGGCGCACATTACAGTATTGTTTTATGTTAAAAAATCTGAGGGTTTAATGTCACTTTAATTACAAATTCTCTGGCAGGTAAAACAGTAAACATATACAGTATGCATTTTCATTGTGTATGTAGCTTTAAGTGGTTGAGATGTCCAAAGTGAGCAGCTTATCAATGCCAAAAGTAAACATTTCTTAGTGTCAATTTCTTCTTTGTGTCCTCATGAAGGTGGATGGAGGCTTTGATGTTTTCTATAATCCGGGAAATACAGATATGTGCACCATGGTATACATGATGTACAATATGTCATAGAAAGAGTGAACTCACGGGACAAAATAATGCAAATTAGACTCAGGAGGTGGCATGTTCTGGTCTTCAGTCCCTGACTTGGAGCCGCACAACATTAATTCCTCTTCAGGACGATTTGTATTGTTTCATATGTCTACAAACATGAAGTATTGGCCTCACTCCGTACTGCCGATGAGATCCCATATTGCACCTCTCTGGGGGGAGCCTTTATACAGTAGAGGTGCACCTTCCTTCCAGGTAAAAAGTAACGTCAGCATTTCCAGTCTAGGTGTGGGTAAGCAATGATCATACCCACCAAAAAAACATTGGCACTTCATTCCCGCTCTGCTTACCAATACTTCTTGTTGCTTATATATGCTCTTGATGAGTGGGCATCTCATGGTGAGCGGGCATCCCACAGTGAGCGGGCATCTCATGGTGAGCGGGCATCTCATGGCTTAAAAAGTCCCTCATGATCCTGTTGACCTCTTCAGGGCGATCTTGCTGTAGCCAGTGGCTGGCATGTTGTATAATCTCAGCCCGAAAAGGAGCGCGGACGTATTGCTGCATCTCCGGTACCATTGCCGCCTCTAGAAACACGTCAAGCTCCCCCCACAGCAGCAACGTAGGGACGAGTACGTCCTGGGCTTTCACTGGAAAGAACCTGCAGGGATAGGGAACAAAAAAACAGACAGCCCTGAAACCACTAGACAGAGAAATCTAATAAAAGTAAAAGGATAACTGCTTCTAATACAGTTATGGTTTATATTAGGGATGCACTGATACCATTTTTTCGGTATCGAGTACTGATAATTTTTTTTTGGTACTCGCTGATACCGAATACCGATACCGGAAGTCCCATTAAGGAAGCCAGGCGGCGTGTAATGACTCGCCACCTGGCTTCCTGATAAGCAGCGAAGCCGTCTCCATGCTAGGAGATGGTCCAGAAGCTGGCCAAACAGGAAGTCGGGCTGGCCAAACAGGAAGCCAGCTCCATGCCCCCTTGTCACCAGGTGACGATGGAGCATGAAGCCGGCTTTCTGGCCAAACAGAAAGCCAGGGGGCAGGTAATGACTCGACGTCCAGCTTCCTGATTGGCCAGCTTCCCGGCCATTTCGGAAGTTAAGCGGCGAGTGATTACACGGCTTCCTGATTGGTCGCAAAGCCAGCTCCATGCTCCCTCGTCACCACGTGATGAGGGAGCATGGAGCCGGCTTCCCGGCCTATCAGAAAGCTGCCCAGCTTCCTGATACCAGAAGCTCAGTTATCGGGCTACGCATCGGAGCATTTGGGCGAGTACGAGTACTCGCCCAAATACTCGGAATCGGCACTGATACCAATACTAATATCGGTATTGGTGCATCCCTAGTTTATATAACCACCTACCCCACCACTCAAGTGTTATACTTACCTGCCCCTGCTCACTTTAAGATGATATTTGCCTGCAGCCTTCTGAGAGCCATTGCTTCAAAAGTCTTCTAGCTGGGTTCCTCTGTGTGCGAACGCTGCTTTTTCCTATTGAAAGGCCCCAAAACCTTCATTCTAAAGGCAAGTTTAGTTTTTTTATAAGAGAAATTGCTGTGCGCATGTGCAGAGGAAGCAGAGCCCTGCCTGGAGACTTCAGAAGTGAAGATCTTGGAGGGACGGGTAAATGTAAGACCTGGAGCAAATGTCAATTGCTGGCATTACTGCTCAATAGGTCAGTTAAGGTTCAGACTTGCCTAGGTGCAGTGGTGAGTGGTCTTCGGCAGTACACTTGGACCTGGACCAGTGACCTGACCTACTATAGTGAC